CTTCATTGAAAGGTGGGGGAGAAAAAAAAAGAAAAAGTGAATCCCATTAGAAATATCCACCTTTAGATTGAAAGTGTTACCCGACAAATCAGAGATGTACAGGAGAGATAGCAAAGTTTCCTGTGTACTTTCCTATGTTAGGTTTGTGTTCTGTGAGGTATGTTTTTAATGAGGAAAGTGAACAAAATGACTTAAGCTTCAGTGTGTCTGAAAATAGGTAACTAAGAATTGAAAAAATATGCCCTGAATTCATCTGACTATACTGAAAATAGTAAAAAAATCTTGCAGAAGTAATTTGGTATGTCCTTAGCATTTTTTTGTCTGTTTTTTTGGCATACAGAGTACTTTGGATAATAGTTAATTGTGCCTGTAAGTAGCCCAAACATTTTTTTTTTTAATATAACGCTGCTGGCATCTCTGAAAAATCAAGTGCATGGATATAATTGTAAAACTATATTTACTGCTGTTGAAAGATGATGATTAAGCCCTGTGGTCTTCTGTCTGCTAAACGAGTTTTTTAAGCAGCCAAAGTTCCCATGGCCTTTGCTCTTGGATGTGTAGGACCTCAGTCTGACTTCAGTAGAGTGTGCTGGGGCAGGAAAGTGATCTTGTGTCTAGAGCCTAATTCTTACTCATTTTTCCACCAGACCTGCTCAGTGGGCATCTGTTCATTGGTGGGTGACTGGTTGTTTTGACACAGGTTCTTCATTAGAAGTTACAGAGAGTTTTCCACATTATCTGCACTCTGCTTCACAATGGGAAGATTGCCTTCTGCCACTTGTAGCTTTCAGTCCTTGTCTCCAGAGTCCTTCAAGCTCTTGATCCAAACAAGGTTGGATGTGTGGTTTTGGGTTTTTCTGAATTCAAGACTGGTCTAGGAGCAGTGGAGTGAGCGCAGTCTGTCTCCTAGATTTTGTAAGCCACCCAAATCCCCTTTTAAATATAGTTATTAGTTACAGTTTGTATTTTGTAAATATTTTCTTTGCAGTGATTTATAGCTCTTAACCTCCTCATTATGATTCACAGCATTTTGGACTGCCTGCTTCTTGGGGGAGAGAACGAGGGGTTGTTTTTTGTTTGTCTCTAACTTGGACCTGAAGCGGTTCTAGAAGCAAGTGGGAGATGTAAACAGAATGTTCTGGGTATTAATAATCTCTGTGCTAGCCTGTCACACTGGTGCTTGTCTGGTTTGCTGGGGAGGTACCCCTCCGTCTAGCCATGCAGATGGAGATCTGCTCAGAGCTCAGGTGGTGCTGGAGCCCCAGCCTCCCTGCTGCTGCAGAGAAATCCCCAGCATTTAATTGATCACCACCTGGGTTAGGACAGAGGAGTCCAGCTGAGAGGTGGGAAGATGCCCCCAAACCTTTCAGAACACCCTCATGTTCCCAGGTGTCCTCCTCCCCTTTTACACGGGCACGTGCACATGTATAATCTGTGCTTCTCTTTGCAGCTGCCTCTTCTTGCGCAGCGTTTCCTTACTGCTGGTGGGTGTAAGGGAGGAGCTGACATGGGGGCACAGGCAGCAAGTAGTTAAAAGTAAAGCACATGCTGCTCGTGTCCTGAGCTCTGATGTGTTTCTCAGTGACCTTGAGCAGAGCTCAAAGCTTGCGTGTGCAGGCATGAATGACATTATCACCTGCATCAGTATATGTTACACGGACTGTGCTGAGGAGGTACGGAGAATGCAATACAGCTCCTAAATGCGAGATCTCTGCCACAGCATGTCTCTGTGTTGCCTGATGACAGGCATTGAACGTGTGTTAGCTCCCTTCCGAGCTGAATCACTGTCTATAGCAAAGGGAGAGGTCCATTTCTTCACTGTGAAGTGTTGACATGAGGCCAGAAGGAGATTAAACTCCGTATGGGGAAGGAGTCAAGGTGGGGAGTGGGCGCTTGGTGAAATGCGGGCTTTTGTAGTCTGGCTTGGTCAGAGTAGCACTGTTGCCAGCATCTGTTATGTGCTGCCTTAGAACAGACTCCAGGCCCTTCCTTTCATCTCCTTCCTAGTGAGTTAAACCAAGGAATAACTATAAAAGGAAAAAAAGAAAGATCTGAGGACACGGTTTCTTTCATTTATGTTGTAGCTGAATGTGTGGCAGTAGTCATATGTATTGAGCTAATGTTATAGTGGTGGAAAGTTCAAATCTTACCTTAGGACCATGGGACCATAGAGATGAGGGAGCTACAGCATCCAGAGACACAAGGTATTTAATGTTAAACTTCTACTGAAAAATCAGGGTATGTGAAAGCCTGAAAAGCATTTGAGGACTCTCAGTGTAGTTAAAAAGGTAAAGGACCAAAATCCCCTGTTCCTTCTGTTGTTTCTCCTCTTTGAAGCATTTGTCTTGCTGTACACATCTCACATGATGCAAAATGACACTGCCATATGCAGGACCAGCTGTGAGTGCTTTTGGGTGGGCCACTCTACATGATACATCACACCCTTGGTAAGAAAGGAGTTCTGCCCTTTGCCTAGGAACAAATGGATGGGAGAGGAGTGCAGACAACATTCTGGCTTCCTCCCCTGTGGAAACAGCAGATCCAGTCCTGTGCAACCTGTATTTAAATTTAAAGACTAAAACATTTTTGTCATCACCATTCAAGATCTGTGCGTTTCCTCATTCACACAGCAGAAGATGCACTTTGTGCATGGGTGTTTGCTCACTTGCCAAATCCATGCAAAGCCATAGAAAACATGAGATTTGGCAAATTGCACTAGCAGGGCTCCAAAGTGGATTGTAGATATCCCTTTTAGCAGGAGTGTTGGTCTTTTTTGGGAGTTACTTTGAAGAACTCATTTGCAGTTGTTGTATACAGTGATGATAGATAGGCTACTCCTGTGTTTTGTCCTTCTTGGACAGATTTGCCCTGAGGAGCAAAGCACTCTGATGGAGTAAAAAAACACCACTAAATAGCATGGTCTGATTTAATCGCAGGCCAGCTGCACTGATTGTTCCCCTAGGGTGCACTCTCTGTATGTTTGGAGAACCTTTTTGTCATGGGGTTGAGGGCAGGAGAAGAGGGGAGATGGTGGGGTGGGTGGAGACGCTTTTGGATAAGAGCAAATGGAAGTTTCTGAGGTTGTTCCTAAAAATTTTGTGTTTGTGGGATGGATGAGTCTTAGCCAAATAAAAATTCTTCATTCTGCCAGGCTTCACCTAAGACTTGCACAGCTATGGGAAGCAGAGATACTCGCCAGGGCAGTATCTTCATTCTTCCTGCCACAGCTTAATTTGTGTTGACCAGATCAAACATGTTTTGTGCTGCTGAATGCGCAGCCCTCCCGAAATGAGATGGAAAGCTGCCACTGCTTTGCTCAGCATGACAAGACCCCAGTGCTTACTGTTTCCTTACCTTATCTTTATATTTACTTGCTTTATAACCAATGTGCAAGTTCAAGGTCATGTCTGTAAGTGATATTTCTGGGCAGAAGACACTCTCTTAATGTTGCCGGTTGAGCTAATCTGTGGAGATGATTCCAAATGTACATGAAGTGTTGTATATTGAGTGATGTGCAGATCAGCCTAGCAAGTACATTCAGTGGTTGGGGAGATGTTGTGGGCAACTCCCCTCAGATTTTTTTCATCTTTGATACACAAATCACATGTTTAAAATGGGGGGGAAAAAAGGGCCCAAACCAGTAAAAAACTCACCCCGACTCTTCCATCTTTAAGGCCTATGTGTGTACTTGAAAATGCCTTAAAAAGACTGACTCTAGCAATTGCACAGTCCTTGCCTTCTTGTAGAACTTTTTACTTGATATGAGTTAAGGCAGAAGTCAGGTTGGCATCTAAAGAGTTGAAATGACACTTAAAAGTGCATCACACAGGTAGTCAAAGCATGACTCCTAGGAGACTGAGAGCAGCAGGAGATAGTGAGGGGGTGGGTGCTCTTTGAATACCTTGGCCTGTCAGTGCAGGCGCTTGGAAAGGGACAGAGCAATAAAACCGACCAAATTGTAGTCTGCTTTGTTCTGTAGCTCTGAGGTTTTGAGCTCGTTTTTGTGAAGAATGCCATTTTTCCATCAAGCCATTTTGCAAAGGGGCCTTGCTGTTATATTTAGTGCTGTGCTCAAATTTTACCCCTTTTCAGTCTAAGCCCACACAAGTGGCTGAGGTTCTCTTCCTTTCTTTTCTTCTGCCAGTTATCTCAGCGGGGCATTAGGTCTCTCCTCTGGCACACAGGTCCCCCTTATTCCTCTGCCTGTGTGCTGTACTTTTTCTGTGAACAAGAACTCCTGGCCTACCCTTTGGCCTTGCTTTGCAATGCCAGTCAGTGCTTGAGAATGGTGGAACAAATACCTTTTCTTAGCTATGGAACTGGTAGCAGAAAGTAGCACTTGAAATTTTTATAAATCTTACGGTGATGATGATGACTGTTTTCTCTTCCTGGGCTCACTTGAATGTATGAGAAAAGTTAATCAAAGACATCCATAATCTGTTCATACATGGATTTTACCATTTAATTATAGATCTTCTTTTGAGGTGATGTTTCTCTGAAGGGAGCTTGGCAGAGCAGATGCCGTTTTGCTTGGGGATGCATGTCTGGTATTGGCCCAGTGAAGAGCTGCCACTTCAGCTGTGGGATTTTGATGATTGTATGAACATCCTGCCACATGGGATTAGAGTGGCGGTACTACCTCCCAGCTTCAGGATATGAAAGATCCGCCTCTTCATTAGGGCTTTCATATGGTGGCAGCTGAAGTGAGGAAGAACAGGCTAAAAGAGAGAAGCAATTTAAGAAAACCAAAGACAACTCTACTAAGCTGATAGGTGATACGAGGGGAGGGAGGCTGAGATCTCATTACTGTTTACTCATGGAAAGGGAGGGGAAGAACAACAAATCAATTGTCAAGGGCTGCTGGCTTTATCAAAATAATTGTCAAGTGCTAGATTGTGCAATTACAAGTATAGTGCTAATACCTAAAAAAAGGTAGACATGGCATGTGGGAGGAATTGTGGTTTCTACTCATGCACGTGCTTTTGTCTCTCTGATTTCAGCAGACAGAAGGAGGGGCACAGACAGATGGACAGCAATCACAGACGCAGAGCAGCGAGAATACTGAGAGCAAATCCACTCCAAAACGACTTCATGTGTCTAACATTCCCTTCCGCTTCCGAGATCCTGACCTTCGGCAGATGTTTGGGGTAAGTTATCGCTGCCTTTTAGGGCATGGCAGATTCTCCTTTCCCACAGGTGGGACACCTGGTGCTGATGTACTTATGTGAATGAAAAACCTGTCCCCCTCAATTTAGTCAGCACACTGTAAAATAATTGCAGGACTAGGACAATTGGTAGCATCTAACTTGGCTGGTAAATACACATGAGAACTGTAACAGTGTTCTTCCTATCAAGTTGTTAATAGAATCATAGAATGGTTTGGATTGGAAGGGACTTCAAAGATCATCTAATTGCAACACCTCTGCTATAGGCAGGGATACCTTTCACTGGACCAGATTGCTCAGAGCTCTATCCAGCCTGACCTCAAACAGCTCCAGGGATGGGGCATCCGCAGCTTCTCTGGGCAGCAACGTTCAGTGTAATCGAACAATTGGTTTGGGGAAAAAAACCAACCAACAAACCCAAAACAAAACTTCACCTTCTTTCTGAGTAAAGACTTGGATTAAACATTGACTTAATGTATCCCTTGCAAAGGACTGTTTTTCAGTTGCATAGAAACTTGATGAAATATTTATGTCCTTCTCTGTGATCCATTTCTGCGATGAAAAATTGCTGCAAGGTATTTGCCACCTAGCAATTGCATGTGGAAAAGCTAGTGCAAGTCAGATGGTATTTTACATTGCGTATGATATACATTCTGTTTCTTTTGACCAAATAGTTTGCCTTCCTTAATCCTTGTATGCTATTCATGATTCTCAATTTATAAGCTCTTCAAGGAAGAGTTTGTTTACGTGAGTATAGGTGGTGACTCATTCCATGTGAACACAGAGATAAATGTTATAGATGCTTCATGACCTAACCCTGAGGTGAAGTTATCTATATATCATCATCATCATCATCAGGAGTATTGGACTTGTTGATATGATGGCATTTTTTACAGTCTTAAAAAAATATTTCTGATTAACTTTTAAGTTAACAGCCTGTTTAAGATACAGTCCAGAGAATTCAAGTCAGGAAAGATGAAACCTTGTCACTTTAGGCTTTGAGTATATACCTTGGTCCTAGCTGCATATCCAGCTGCTCCTCCAAATTCTGCAGTATTCCTGTTTCAGTTGTTGTTATCTCCTGAGCCATCTCTGTGGGTGTACACGTGTGCGCATACACACACTCACATGCAGAGTAGTGTTGCAATATTGTAAATATGTCAAAACATGCAGAAATGTTAAAAAAATTCACTGATGGTCTTAACAAGAGCCCCAGTTGCTATATATTGTGAGAGATCTCTGCTCCTTGCTCTTGAAACTTTTTGTGTCCATAAGAAGCTGTTTTGTGGATGAGGCCAAATGGAGAGGAGTGGTCAAAATGCATGAAGGCAAGGCTGCTATTCAGCGGGACCTGGCCAGGCTGGAGAAATGGGCTGAGGGAAATCTTAAGATACTTGGCAAAACTGAATTTCAGGCTTTCCATTTGGGAGGGAATAACCCCTGCAGCAGTACAGGCTGGTTGTCTAGGGAGATGCCCTGCAGTAAAAGATGTGGGATCCTGATGGACAAGCACTTGAACATGAGCAGCAGTGTGCCCTCGATGCAAAGGGGCGCGGATGGCACCCTGGGCCTTGTTAGTGAGTAGCCAGCAGGCCCAGGGAAGGGATCCTTTCCTTGTCTCCAGGAACTGTTGGACTGCATCTGGAAAACTCTGTCCAGTGGGGGATCTCCAGTGCAAGAAGTGCACTTCATCTAAATGAAATACTGAAGGAAGCCTAGTGGGCACCATTGAGATGATCAGGAGGCTGCAGAACTTGGCATGTGAGCGGAGTCTGAGGTCTGGGCTTTTGCAGCTTTGAGAATAAAAGGGCAGAGGAGGGCTGTTTTTGTTGTCTGCAACTACCTGATCAGAGGATACAGAAAAGATGTATCCAGATTATTTTTCGATGGTATCTGATGATGAGACAAAGACAACAATCACAAGTTGGAACATAGGAAGTAGAATCATAGAATATCCTGAGTTGCAAGGGACCCACTAGGAATCACACCATGTGCCTAAGAGTGTTGTCCAAATGCTTCTTGAACTCTGGTAGGCTTGGTGCTGTGACCACTTCCCTGGTAAGCTTGTTCCAGTGTCCAACCACCCTCTAATTGAAGAACCTTTTTCTGATATCTAACCTAAACCTCTCCTGACACAGCTTCATGCAGTTCTCTCGGGCCCTGTCATTGGTCACCACAGAGAAGAGATTTGTGCCAACCCTTCCACTTCCCCTCGTGAGGAAGTTGTAGATTGCTAGGAGATCTCCTCTCGGTCTCCTCTTGTCCAGGCCAAACAAACCAAGTGCCCTCAGCTGCTCCTTATACGGCTTCCCCTCAAGGCCTTTCACCATCTTTGTTGCCCTCCTTTGGACACTTTCCAATAGCTTAATATCTTTCTTATATTGCAGTGCCCAAAACTGCACATGATATTCAAGCTGAGATCTCACCAATGCAGAGCAGAGCAGGACAATCCCCTCCCTCAACCAGCTGGTGATGTTTTGCCTGATGCCCCCCAGGACACAGTTGGCCCTCCTGGCTGCCAGGGCTCTGCTGACTCATATTCAGCTTGCCATTACCAGGACCCCCAGGTCCCTTCCTATGGCACCGCTTTCCAGCATCTCATTCCCCAGTCTGTATGAACATCCAGGGTTGCCCCATCCCAGTGCAGAATCTGGCACTTGTCTTTCTTTAACTTTGTATAGTTGGTGATTGTCCAGCCCTGTAGTTTGTCTAGGTGTCTCTGCAGGGCCTCTCTGCCTTTGATATATCAATTAGATATCAGGAAAATTTTGTTTTTACTGTGAGGATGCTTAAATAGTGGAAAATGTTGCCCAGGAAGATTGTGGAAGCTCTATCCTTGAAGGTGTGTGCCTTCACTGACACAGCCTGGCCAACCAGATCTTCTTAGACCTGCTGTGAGCAAGGGTTACAATAAACAACCACTGGACTTAATTGCCAGTCAAAACAGTGAGTCTGTGATTCTGTTGCAGGAGGATTAGGTTTGCTTCGGTGTTGTTCATACCTTAGATTGTCACACTTTTGCCATCTGTTGGAATGTTTTCATAATGAAACTCATCTCCTGGCAATCTGTGATTGCTGAATATTCTCAGTTGCCTGCTCTGCTTTTGTGGTTTTTTAGCTTGCTTTTTGCTGTTGCAGGGCTGTGTGGTAGGCAGTTCCATCCGGTTTGGATAAATGGTTGCTGAAATCACAGACAGTTCTTGGACCACCTGCTACAATCTGTATTTATCACGTCCTGCTCTCTGCTACTGCTGCTCCCCTCTCCTGGGAGCTGCATCGCTTACATAAATCACTTACACGTTGCTGTCCCTTCTCCTGGGACTGGCGCTTGGCTTGACAACTAGCCCTTTTCACACTCCTTCACCTTGATGCTCCTCCTCCACGTGCTCCTGGTGTGGGAGACATGGATGAGATGGAAATGACAAGGACATCCCTGTCCTAGTGACTCTTGCCTCTGCTTTACAGATTGGATGACCCAGGCAATTTAAATGAACTGCTGTCCTAAGTAGTGATTTGTAGAAAATGCAGCCTAATTACTTGCCTTAAGATTTCCTGTCCTTTTTTTCGACCCATAGGGTACCTTTGTTGTACATGGAAGGGATAGGGAAATAACACTATGTGTTCAAGTTATTTTTGTTTGTTTATTTTTTTCTCTAAACATAATCTCAAGCTCCAGCACAGTGATGTGATTTTAACTTGGGTAAATGGTATATTTCTTGTAAAACCTTTTGCTAGTTCACCTGACCCTTCATCTTCTGGGGCATAAAAACTCCCATGTGCCGTTTTTCGGTAATAGAGAACTTTGCTACTTTGCCAAGGAAATAACGATCCTTGTGCATCTTCCTTTTTCTTTCAGTGCTACTTCTCTTACCATGCTCATAGCCTCAAGCAGGAGAGCAATTCTCTCTAAATCTTGCTTGCTCCTATTTCTTTTTCAGGATCAGGATGCTTTCCTTTGGGTGACTCACTGAAACCTACCCTTTCTCCTAACGGGGACTCACGGTTGTGTGAGTCTTGAGCTGTGACTAGCCTGTAACCCCCATCTTCTCCCTCTCCTTTCTGTGTGTCAGGTCACATCTCTTCAACGTCATATCTGAGAGACTCAAAATCCTTGCCTGGAGTGTTTTTCCCAAGCTACTGTACAAAGAGAGGAATTGGGTAGACAGTGAAGCTGTGGAGGAAGAAATAAATGTGATGGTAGGGAGGGAGTAAAGAAGTCCCCTCAAGGATGCAACAGCATGCGAGAGGTCAGCCCAGCCCTGAGGCGCAGAAACTATCTAATGCTTTTGTCCAGACTGGAGCAGAGGGGGACTTCAGACATGTTGTCCCATATGTGATTAAATGGATATTACATAATGCTCTCTGAACTTGCACGATTTGTGAGAGGGGCAAACATAAGGATTTCTTAACAAATTCAAATTATTTGGTTTCCAACCATTTCTCAGCTATTAGGTGTTTCTAACAGGTCCCTGAAATATCCTCAGGATAGGAGCAAACATTTCCTTATGCATATGCATCTTACAAGGAGGCAAATAAAATGGCCTGCTTAGAACAGGTAATATTTGCTTGACATTTCATGAGGCCATTAAAAAGACTTCCAGAAAGCTTCTGGAAGGAATAGGTCATTTTTTAATGCACACAGTTCTGCACCCACTGTGGAATAAATCAATAGTTGACCTTGTTCTAGCAGATAAAGAAGAGTTAATAGCCGACCTGAAATCCCACCGTTGCCTAGGTACCAGTGATTGTTATTTGTCTGTATTTGCTTTGTGCAAACAGAATATGGCATCAGGCAGTAATGTAAGGAGCTTTAGAAGAGTCTGTTTCTTGGACATTAAACAATTGGCAGGATAACTGTCCAGGAAGGTATCTTTAAAAGCAAAGTGTTAATGGAAGCTGTAAAGTATTCAGCAGCATCATACTGATGGCCAAAAAGGCATGATTCCACAGTTAGGGTATTTGTACCTTATCTGCTTTTCTAT